AACCAATGATATTTTTGCAATATCACGGGATGATCTACAAAAATCAGCCAATTACAATGAAAGCCCGCTATGCTCATGACATGATCTACATTCTTGTTATTAACTTGCATTATAAAAAGGATTGTGTGATATTTGTTTTAAAGGGTTCCAATCGATTCACCGACAGTTATTTCACCGAATGCTCATTTAGCCGACATCACATAGGATTAGGGTTTAGCATTTGATAGGTTACAGGTACGTATATATTTTTGCTTAATTTCACCTGGAGTGATGTCGGCTAAATGAACTGTCGGTGAAGTGATTGTCGGTGAAACAATACGGACCCCTAAAATCTTCGTTGGAATTTTCACAAGGTAAAAAAATATACAGATATAGTTATACACGTCACTCTGGTTATATCGACATTTTTGAGTAATTAGTAAAAAAATTCAAATTATCGATATAGTGAGTTATACCGACATTTTATATTAAAATTTTGCAAAAAAATGTCGATATAGAAAGATTTTACTATGATGTCGTTATATCCAGATGTCGGTATAACCAGAGCGACGTGTACTAAAATTTGCTACACAGGCACCTTCTCTGATTCATTTTGTGCTAGCTTTTCTAACATTATATGCTTTAGAATGATATTTATCCGCATGCAAATAACACAATTTATATTCAGAAGCATGTGAGATATGATGAAATCACGTTATATACATAGAAAAAAAACATATGTATACTATTAAGCATACTATCGTAAAGCTCAGAAAATCAGCACCCCTACCTTTTCAACCTCATATTAGCGAGAATAACTTCAGTAAAGATTTCATTACTATCTCCGCTAATCTGAAATTGAAATAAATAGGGTAGAGGGTGGGGTGCTTATCTTCTAAATTTTACGGTATATTTTATCAGTTGTCTAACAAAAAATCTGTAACTAAGATAAATTTTCATTATAATTAAAATTTTAATTTTAAGCATCAGAGGTCAATAGGACTTTATTTATGAAATCTAATTAAAAACAAAAGATTTTATTTGCGAAAAAAGTTTGACACTATTATAAATAAACATATTCTCGTGATATAAAGCATGCAAAAAATCTGTGAACACGTTATAAAGATTTTTTTATTCCTTCTACGGCTCACAATCCAATGTGAATTCGAGGTTACAACATAGTTTTGGTCCAGTTCCTTTAGTGTCATTAAAAGAACAAATTAAGGTACCGTTGCATGCTTCTTCGACAAGACAAGTATCTCCTTTTGGTCGTGTATCAGTTTGCTGACATTTTCTTCCATCTTGATCTACTCTACGGCAAACACTAGTTTCACATTCAGTGTCATTACTACAAGGTGCTCCTAGGGTGAAGTTACCCTGTCTTCTGTTAAGATCGATGCTGGCCGCATTGGCGAGGATGAGAAAGAACGTCCCGAAAAGCATGATCGAGAAAAAGTTTATTTTTGTCTGGAATTTGGACATTTTTACTCAAGTGTACTATAATGATAAAGTGAAAAGTGTTCTTGTTTTATTTATTTACGAAATTTATTGCTATTGATGAAGTGTGTATGATTTATGCGAGTGAGTTGCTTCCTACCGTGTATTTATATCTTCCAACAATCACGATATCTAAAATTAATCATACTTCAGATATTTGAACATCTCGGAATATGAAACAGATTGTTTATTGCGGTTTGCAAAATTATGTGAAATTTGAAGATCAATAAAAAAAAAGTAATCACTAATTTCCGATTACTGATTGCCGATTTCTTCGGCATTTTTTTTGGCTTTTAGGCTAGACAAAATTTGCGCATTTATCATTTGTAAGATATTTTAATGCGCAGCACATATTTTTGCAAATATATTACAAAATGATGAATATAGCAACTTTTTTATTTCTATGAAAAATAATAAAATTTTTACAAAATAATAGATACGCAAATTTTGTATAATCTAAAAGTCAAAAAAAATGTTGAAGAAATCGGAAATCAGTAATCAGAAATTAGTGATTACTTTTTTTTTAATGATCTTCAAATTTCACATAATTAATTTGCAAACCGCAATTAATATTAAGCATTTATTAATTCGATCGACAATCGCTTACATGATAGGTCATTTTACATTTTACTGACAATAATTTCACTGGTTTCACCGACAGCTGAAATATAATAATAAATGTGATCTATTATTTGATTTCGGTAAAGAATAGTTTATAGCTAATATTGTTTTACATGAAGTAGGGGTCTGTAAATTGCCTATTCTGTAGCCAGGCCTTGCCCATTTAGTGCTGTTTTCATAAATTATGTGCACCTGACAAAAAATTGCGAATGATTTTTCGGCCAAATCGGTTAAGTTATTGATTTCGGCATAATAATAATAGATTTAATGTGAAATTTAAAATCAGGTGACCAATACGTATAAAATACTATAAGACTATATTATATACGCATATCTACTTTTAAAATATCTTTGTTGGCAAATGGAAAAAAAAAATTTAGAAGGCATATCAGTTTGAAAAATTGTTAAACACTTTTGTATCAAGTCGAGTTCTCAAACACTT